TGGTAAAACAATTTTAACTTTATTAAATTCCCATAGATACCTTCCTTAGCATCCAATAGACACTGAACCATAAGAAAAAGAAACAATAGGGCACTCTCTCCATGAAAATAAGACCTCCTCAGATAATAAGCCTAATCGGGCTTTTGAGCACATGCACTAAAATAAGCCCTCCCCAAAAATATTGCAACACAGCAGCAGCCTTGAGGTGACCACGCTCGCCATCTCCTGCACCTCATAAATAATACGACCTCCCCGAAAATAAGGCCAAATGTTTATTCAGCACATAGAACAATTGCCAAATAATGCCAAATGTCATTCAGCATTTAGAACAATTAAATGCATAATAATTTGGATATTATTTAATGCACAAGTTCTGCTAAATTTGCATCACAAGTAGAGACCTAATGGAACTTGTACAGCATAGAGGGGGAAACTATATCAAATTATTTTGTTAAAAGAGTCAAATAATGCATTTTAGATTTTTTAAAAACGCAGCAATCCCAGATTCAGTAGTATGGACTAAAAGAAAAACCTTTACCCATTACAATAAATATCAATCTTTTCTGCTCTATTATTATGATCCAAATATGTAAATTGTACATTCTACTCTGATCCAAGATTGTAACCCATCATAGGACAAATTGCCCTAAAAAATTAATTAAATATACAATCAGACTGGAACTAATGAGCTGTAGGGACGTTTGTCTAAATGACAATAGAATAGTAGTAGGTGATCTTATAGTGCTGGAATGGATTGTCAATTTTGTTTAAATGCACTTAAAATGTCAGGTCTATTAGCCTAATTCCATATAGGAATATATATAATAGAAAATCAATTCTGTTCTGGGTGATGGTAGTATTGTATAATAATTTTGCATTGTTCAACTTGTTTTGATTTGCCCCATTGAAGAATTTTGGCTGTGTCTTTCAGGACAAATTAATCTATATTTTATCAGTATAATGTACTGTGTTCTTTACTTCTCTCACACAACTACAACTACCAGACAAACTATTTTTGAAAGGTCTTTTTCTCTTGGGAAGAAAGATAGCCTTGGATTCTTTTACTACAAGAATGTTATTTAGAAAAGGTTTTGATTTCATGGAGATTCATGCATAGTCAAAATTCTTATGCTAATTCAAGTAGTAAAAAAAGATCCTCTACTATTAAGTTCTGCCTCTTCTGTGAAGTAGACAACAGACAAATATACAGTACATATAGCCCTTTCTGCAATTTTGCTATTTCTTTGTCCATTTATACCCATCATTTATAAGAAATAATAATATAATGCTAAAAATTAACAATATATTTTTAAATATATTAATATATAAAAATTAATAAGCATAGCTCAAAAGAAATTGCTCATTGCAAATGGGGGAAAGAAAGCAACCTAAATAATATCTTCTTGATAAAGAAAAGACTAACAATTTCCCCCAAGTAGAAGTTTCATAATCTAAATATCACCAGAGAAATGTAGTGTACATCAGGGGTATCAAACTCATGGCGTCACATTGTCGTCATGTGACGTAGTTGGTATGGAAAACAACTTCTCACTAGAATGAATAAGAAAGGGAGGTTTGCCACACAAAAGTCAGAATGGGAATGAGGTCCTACGGAGTCTGTAAAACAATGGGGGTGATTTAGTTTCCATGTCCCTAAAACAAATTACTACAAGAAAACTACAGAGAGTGACACTTGAATAGAATACCTTTAAAGCTTAAGACGATTCACTTGAACAAAAATAGCAACTGCTTAACTGGGTATCAGAGCAGAATGGGCTCATGTCCATCCAGAATCATTAAAATAAAATGTAAGCGTAGCCAGGGCCAGATTTAGATGAAAAGAGGCCCTAGGCTATTCCACTTATGAGGCTCTTTCACCTCCCATTTTTAAGTTT